CTGACCCCCCAGGAGGGGCCGCAGCACGGCGGTCAGGAGGCGGGCCGCTGGGCTCCCACATGCTCTCCACCTTCCACCTTCCGACGTGGCAGGTGAATCGCTCTGAGCGCCGCCTTCCCCAGGGCCGATCCCACCGGGGCAGGCAGAGCTGCCCTGAGCCTCCGGAGGGAGATGCGCTAAAACCTGGCCTCGGTGATGCCGTGTCTCCAAGAACTAACGCAGCGCTCACCTGCCCAGAGGACGGGAGCAGACAGCCGAGGCAGGACCGCACTGCAGCCCTGGGAGCCACCGCGGCCTCCACACATGGTGAGCACCAGGCACCACAGACCGAGTCAGGCACCTGTGCAGGCCCCGCGCACGAGGCCCGGCCGCTGCCCACGAGCCCGCAGGACGTGCCGGTCTCCTCCACGCTTCCCACAGGAGCCTGAGCGGGACTGACGCCCGCGGCCAAGCCCCTGGCCCAGCCGCCGTGAGCACGCACCTGCTTCAGCTGGTTCCGCAGGCGGTCTTCTGTGACTCCCAGGGCCCGCATGCCTCGCGCCCGACACGCCGCCTGCAACTCTTTGACGTTGAGGCTGTCCACACCCTCCTCTGCAATCAGCTGGAAAAGAAAGTCAACACGTGGCTGCGCTGTCCTTCTGAAAGGGCACCAGAGGCCCCGGCTGAATGGCCACTTGCCTGGGAACCACGTGCCCCTCGTCAGCCACGGCCTCAGAGGCTCTGCTAAATAACACACGGCCTACCCAGGCCCCGCCTGGGTTTGCAGGCACAGGAGCTGACCAAGAAGGGCCTGGGGAGCGCGCACGGCCAGGACCAGCCCCAAGGCCGGAGTCTGGAAGAAGGGCGCCTCCGCCCAGGCCCGCGGGGAGGGTCCCAGGACCTGTCTCTGCCCACAGCCCACCCAGCCCAACCCGAGCCTTGCTGTTTGCTGGACAGAAGAGAAAGGGCAGAGAGCAGAGTGACCACAGGCTCCCAAGATGTCTCACAGCCTCAGCCACCGCTCCCAGCCAGAGGGAGAAGAGGGGCTCGCAGGAGTCCCCTAGACAAGGACATGGGCTGCAGTGCCAAAAACACCGTGCAAGGGAGGAGGGAGGGAGGAGAGCAGGGAGGGAGGAACAAGCGCTCCCCATCTGTCCCCCCAACCTCGACTCGCAGTATCCTGAGGGGGATGGGGCGCCCCCACCCCATCTTCTTAAACGTTCATCCTGAGACCGGCGGTGGTAACCTGCCAAATCCGGGCCCCGTGGTGACATCGCCCCAAGTGCAGAACGAGATCACAGCCAGGTGACAGCAGGTCCCTCCCACCGCTTCCCGCCCAGCCAGCCCTTCATTTCGCTGCATCCGATGCACGAGCACACACAGGATCCATGTAGCTTGCGGGGATTCCATGAAGACCACTCACACAGGCTGCCAGCGTATCAACAACTCGCCTTTCCATGCCACAGAGCACGGCCCAGCACGGCCCTGCCCAGCACGCAGTGCTCAGGAAACTGCATGCCTGCTTCCGGCCCCCATCCTCCTGGGGTTCCGTGATCCCACTGCGACCTCTCGTGTTTCTGGGTGGCCCTCCTGTGTGCGGACCCTGAGAGTAAGACACCTACTAAACAAGGGCTCCTGGAGGCTACCTGGGCTCGAATTTCCAAAAACAGAGCCTAGCACGGCTGGTGTGCCCAGTGGTTGAGCGCCAACCTATGAACCAGATGAACCAGGAGATCCCGGTTCGATTCCCGGTCAGGGCTCAGGACTGGGTGTGGGCTTGATCCTTAGTGGGGGGCGTGCAGGAGGCAGCCGATCCATGATTCTCTCATCATTGATGTTTTTCTTTCTCCCTCTCCCTTCCTCCCTGAAATCATTAAAAAAATATATTCAAACAAACAGGCCCTTCACTAGCGGCACTTTAAGGAGCTGCACTGCCCGGCCGCCGAGGCGTGTCCTTGCTGCCTGAGCCAGCCCACACGCGTGGCCACGCCGGCACCACACCTGCGTGACCGGTCCGGCCGTGGGTCCTCTCTCCCGTCCAGGTGAACCGGAGGAAGCGCCTTCTTCCACTCGCACACGGAGAGCCCACGCCACGGCGCCATCACTTGTGCTTTGACCATCGAACGTCATCGGGAGACGCGCGGAGAGCCTGATGGACTGATCTGACGTTTCCTTCCTGATGTTCCAGGGCCCTCCCATCACTTCCTGCTTCAAAAACCTCCGTCAGGGTCTTCGAGGACCTGCCTGCTGGGAACACACGGTAGCTTTCCCTCTTCTGAGGTCTGACTTACTCTTCGCCCAACAGGGAACGCTGCTGGACACAGACCTGTGGGCTGACATTCTGTAGTCTTTGTCCTGCAGGCAAGATGCTGTTCGCTCTCATTACTTTCAAATTACTTCTGTCCTTGAAGGCTCATTAGTTTGTCTGCGACGTGTCCTGCAGGGTGTGGGCTGCTTTGGGTCTGTCCTGTCCGCGGGTCCCTCGGTTGCTTACATTCGTAGAACTGAAGGCCTTGGGGAAGTGTCCAGCCATGACTTCTTCGAGCACTTTTCCAGCTCTGCCCTGTCCCTTCTCTTCCCGGAGCCCCCACGACGTATCTTAGTTCTCCAACAGCCCCCAGGTCCCGGAGGCTCTGGCCTTTCTCACTGTCCTCTTTGTAGTTCACATGTTAAATTCTACAACTTCCCTTGCTCACGGAGCCTGTATTGTGTCCTGTCCATCCTACTGGAGGCCCCCACTGAGTTTCCCTGCTGGACTGTGCCCGGGCATGAGGAGCAGCTTCCTACTGGAGCCCGGGCGTGGGGAGCATGATGTCATGGGACTGGGTCCCGTTTCAGTCCTCCTGGCTGCCCCTGACAGGGCCCTGGAGAGTAAGGGGCGCTGTTCTAACCATCTTTATAGATTTTGAAATTGGTTATCTGGCATCTGTTGATGGCCCAAGCTATCTGCATGTCCCTGGCAGCCCAGCTTTCGTGGGTGCACAAAGTCACCTTTCAACCCTTTAACCACAAACCCCGACCTCTGCTTCACTTCCTGCCCAACCAACGTCTCCAGCTGGTCAGCCCACCAGTGACAACGGCCCAGCCCCTTTCCTCCCGCCTCCCCTGCTGCCGCTTCCCGTCCGGGGGCGCCGTGGCCGTGTCCAGGGAACCTGGAACAGCAGGCTCCCTTCATGGGCACCGATCTCTGTGCATAGCCAGCCCATAAGCTGCACCCAGGTGCATTCTGGGACAGGCACGGTGCTGCTTCCGTCCTGCACGCTTCCCGGCTCCCGGCTGGGGGGCAGGAGACGCGTTATGCCCCGCCTGGCCTCCACCACCGCACCTCCCGCAGGGGCAGGAAACGTCCCAGGACTGTCAGGTGGGTGGCGGTCTCACACCACCCACGGACGCGGGGCGGGGCCAGTGTGTCCCGGGTGTCTGGCTGGAGTCCTCTCTCCCAGGGCAAGCCTGTCCTGTTCTTGGCCGAGAGCAGGCTCTGGACTTGCCAGTGTTTCTGCCGCCCAAGGCTGGGACATGAGGCACGAGGACACTCGGTGGTTCCTGGGGTCCCAGGGCCCCCCCACACCACAGCCCTCTCAGGTGTGCTTCCTGTCCAGGGAAAGGGCCCACCCCCTATTGACAGCAGAGGTCGCGGGAATCGGAGGCACTTCACGGTGGGATGACTTGTCCCAGGTCACAGGACGGGTGAGTGGCAGGGACTCAACCCGGCCACCTGCCCGGAGCCATCTCCCGAGAAGACGGCGCCTCAGGGCGGCCTGCCCGCCGCTCTCCAGCAGAGCGGTGCCTGAGCACGCCCTCCCGGGAGAAACGCACAGCAGCCGCGGTGAGCTCCTCTCACCCTCACACACTCAGGACGACAGGGAAGGGTAGCTGCCCCGGGAGCCGGAGAAGCCAGGGACCACAGGACACAAGTGCGTCTGGAGACGGGAGAGCGACCACCAGGCTTCAGGGCAGCGGGAGTCTGTGGGCCGGGCCAGACCAGGCTGCCAGGGAGTGAGCTGGCCACCGGGAGTGGCCGGCCCAGCGGCATACGCCAACGCGGAGCAGGTGGAGTCCAGGCAGAGACCCTGCTAAGCGGCAGCCACCTTGCCAGCTGAGGAGGAGCAGCAGGGGTCCGGGGGCTCAGTCCAGAGAGCAGAAAGCGCAGGAACCCCCTGGTGTCGGGCCTCACGCTGAGCGGGCACCGGGGAGGAGCTGGCAGAGCCTTGTGCAGCAGGCGGGCACCGGGCTGTGCCATGGGAGCTCCAGGCAGAGGGCACCCCGGAAGCCAGGCCAGCCCTGGGGTGGTGACCTTGTGGGGGTTCCTGGAGGAGGACCACACCACCCAGAACCTCACTTCAGATAAGGTCTCTATTTGAAAAAGCTAAATACGACCAACAAGCCACGCCCAGAGAGAAAACAATGAACACCTATTTCATACTGTTATTGGAATAATTAGACGTGAGCTAAGACTAGCATGTTCAAGAAAACAGGCAGCAAGATGGACAGCTTTATGTGAGAAATGAAATCTTAAAAAAAGAATCCTGGCATTGAAATGAGGAACTCAGAAGTGGGTCTAAGAGTAATTAAACCCATGCCCTGGCCGGGCAGCTCAGTTGGTAGAGCATCATCCCGATACACCCAGGTTCAGGTCTGATCTCGTCAGGGCACAGGCCCAGGTAGCGGGCTCAATCCCCAGTGCGGGGTGTGCAGGAGGCAGCCAGTAGATGTGTCTATCTCTCTATCCCTCCCCCTTCCTCTCCCTAAAATCAGTAAGAATGTATGTACTTAAAAAAAAGAAGCGTACGGAGTGTTGTTTAGGTAGCAGAAGACTGGCTTCAGGAATGCACTCATCCGAGGAAGCGTCAGTCAGGCATTAGAACGCACCTTCCCAATGGGCACTAGGCAACACGGGAGGATCCGATGCCACGCCAGGTGGGAAGTCGCTTGGACGGCACGATCCCAGTATCATTTATCCCAGCAGACGGCACCCACGGGTCCACCAGGTGGGCACAGCCGCGATACGAGGTGACAGACCACCAGCGATGCCACCCCTGCTGCGAGGATGGCCCGATCTCGAGGCCGTCACTCACCTTGTCGTCCGCCTTGATGGAGCGGAGCCGCATGGTGAGCTGGAAGCGCAGGAAGTTGTTGGTGCCCATGGACTGCAGCTCCAGCAGCTTGCACAACGCCACCAGCTGCGGCCGCGTGAGGTTGTCCAGGGTCAGCTCGTCCTCAAACAGTTTGGAGAAACGAATGATTTCCTCATTGCTGGGTCTCTCCCCAGTCTCTCGGATCTGCAGGAGCAATGCTGTGTTACTCACGGTGGGGGCCTGTTCCCTGAGCGTGCACAGGCATGCGTGCGCGCGCGCGCACACACACACACACACACACACACACACACACACACACACCTGCGCACAGCACCCCTCCCAGGCCAGGGGCCACTGGCCCCAAGTGAGGAAATGAGGAGGACCGGGAGCGGGGGAGCTGGGCTGCCTGGACTCTCAGGCACAGCCTCAGAATTGCCCCTAAGACTCAACCGCGAGGGCAGCCCAGCCCGGAGGGTGGGCTGGCGACTGGAAGAGGCCCTGCCACTCTCCCCACCTCAGCCAGGGCTGTGGCGCAGCCTGTGGTCCATCCTCTCCCCGGCCCGCCCCCCTCGTCCCACTGCAGGGTCTTAGGTTCCTCATTTGCCAAACTCTCCCTCTCCTGGGGCTGCTGCAAAGTTGGAGGCAAAGGCAAGTAACTGAATGTCAGCGGGTTCCAGTTCTCGGACTGAGGTTCAACCCGAGTGTGGGGGAACCTCCATAGACCCTGGGCAGCAGCTGCCGCCCGCCCGCCTGCCCCAGAGGGGGGTCAGGAGCGCCCCCTGCTGCTACAGTAGAAAAGGGAGGATGGCAATGAGGACCACTCCCAGAGAAGACAGGCGGCCCGAGGCTCTAACCAGCACTAAGGACAGTGGGCTGAGGCCACAGGGGCTCCGAAGCATCAGGGCACCTTCTGGAAGAACAAGGAGAAGTCTTTGGTGGCGCTGCCCGTGGCCGCCTTGTTCTTCAGGGCCATCTCCTCGATGGTGTCCTGGAGGAACTTGGCCAGCTCCAGCTTGACCCGCAGCTCCTTCTTCAGCCTCTCCTCCTGCGGGCAGAGACGGGCGCTATCCTCTGCCCACACCCTCCCCGACCAGCGGGGCTGGAGCGTCCCCTCCAGCTCCTGCCTCCCACTGTGCCACCCAGAGCAGGGCTGGCAGAGTCCACACCCGGCTGGGCACGTGTCCCCACAGACCTCACGGACCGAAGCAGGCAGGGCCACACATCCCACCCCACGAACGGCCTCAGCCCAGCCTGAAGACACGGTCCGGAGCCACCACGCTGCAGACACAGCTAAGAGAAGGTGACCCCCGGGGGGCCACCGCGAAGGAACACGCCCGCAGCGCCGGGCAGGGCGGCCCCTCACCTTGATGGACTGGGTCTCGAAGGTGGACGGCAGCATGTTGGGGAAGAGCTTCACCACGACGGGCAGCAGGAACTCCATGAAGGGCACCACGATGAAGACCAGGAAGGGCACCAGGCGGAAGAGGTCGGCACAGATGCGGAGGAACTGCAAGGAGCGGCGGGGTCAGAGGTCACGGCGCACGTCCTGCAGGCCGGGAGCTCCAGGCCACGGGACCCACAGGAACTCCCAGGCCGTCCCTCTCGGCCGGGCCTGCAGGAGAGCTGGCTGGGAGCAGCACCCAGCGCTGGGGCCTCCGGGACCCTGGGGTCCTGCTCTGGGGAAACAGCTGCGGCAAACACAGTGCTGCCCACAGGCGGACGAGAGCAACCAGAGGACGGGTTGCTGCTGGGGAGGCTGTGGCCACACACCCGCCCCCCCACCCCCCCAAGGCCGTGCATGTCTCTGGTTCGTCCTGAAAGGGCTGGATTAGGACTGAACTGCACGGCGACCGTTAGAGAAAACCCAGGTGCTTCCCCAACATAAACACACTGCCCCCGCCACCGACGACGTGGCCACCGGGGTCGTCGGAACCCCGCCAAGCGAGGTCGCGGCTGCCGCTCACAGGGCTGTGGGCGGAGAGGCCAAGGCTGCCTCTCCATGTCCTCACCCCACGCCGATGGACCAGCCCGCAGGCCTCCGGGGAGAGAGGTCCCGTCTAGAAACACGCCCGCTGCCGGGTGGGTGCTGTGCTCCCGCCGAGAACAGCTCCCGAGGGAGGGCTGCCCTTGCTGGGCAGGGCCGGGCCAACACCCCCTCTCCCCCAGGTCACGCCGCCACGGTTCTTCCGTCTCTGCTGATGCTCCCAGAGCAGCAACTTCCTCACTCACCCCACCTCCCCGCTCACCAGCTTCGCTGCCTTTTCCGCACAGTCGTTTTCCTGTTTATTACCCTACGGTTCTCGTTTGTTTACAATGCATTCTTGTTTTTACTTTATGCTCAAATGGTCCCAGATTTGGCCATGGAAAGGCCCGTCCAGTGGGTGCTGCGCTTTGTTTATTTTGTTGTGTTAATCCTCACCCACGGGTATTTTTCCAGTGATCTTTAGAAACATCAATGTGAGACATTGACTGGTTCCTCCTACAGGTGCAACTGAGGACGTGTCTTGACCAGAATCAAAGCTGCAACCCTCCAGTCCTTGGGCCGATGCTCTAACCACTGAGCCCGGCCAGGGTCAACTGTGTGCTTTGTTTTTTTTCATAACAGCACATATTGTCTTCAACGAAGTAGCAAAAACCCTGTAACTTTCACAGCAGAACAGGGCAGGGAGGGGCAGAAGAGAACCTGAACCATACAGCCTTATCTTGCGAGTCCCCAAAAGGCAGTGTGCGTGTAACCCGTGTCCAGTAAACACTAATTGGGAGATTCTAATCCAACTGTTTCCAAAGTACTCATCTGCACTCTTCTCCCAGCATCCCCTGGACTCCAGCCAGTAAACACTCCTATGTAGTCCATGGAACCCTGAGCGCCGCGTAAAGCCAGAAGCCAGTGCTCACAGGTCACAAGCCACCCCCCGGCCGTGACCGAGGCCCCTCTTCCCACGGAGGAGCCTCGGTGTCAGCCTTCAGGGAAGGACATCCAGGGCCTGTCCTCGGGCTCCAAGGCCCCGAGGGCTGGAAGCTGCCCCTTGTCCCCTGGGACTCGGCACAAAAGAAAAGACACAGGGGGGCCGAAACCGGTTTGGCTCAGTGGATAGAGCATCGGCCTGCGGACTGAAGGGTCCCAGGTTCAATTCCGGTCAAGGGCATGTGCCTGGGTTGCGGGCAAATCCCCAGTGGGAAGTGTGCAGGAGGCAGCTGATCGATGTCTCTCTCTCATCGATGTTTCTAACTCTCTATCTCTCTCCCTTCCTCTCTGTAAAAAATCAATAAAATATATTTAAAAAAAAAAAAAGACACAGGGGGTCTGGGAGCACAGATCCCAACAAGCCATGCAAACAACCTGGAAGGAGGTGGACAGCCCAACCACAGGGGAAAGCAACGAGACGGAAAAGGCAGGCCACCAGCCCCCGCAACAGCTCAGCAGACTGGGCCCCGTCGGCGGGAGAAGCAGCCAGAGGACCCCAGCACCAGCGCCCAGAGGACAGACCCGCAGACCCACAGGCACCCGGGCACCCGGGCGGGCGTGCGCA